CAAATTATTTATACTCGAACCACGAATCTATTTTACAATGCAGCTTGCCTTTCAGCACGTCCATCCGAGACACAAAGGCTATGTTATTTAACAAGGTAGCACTCACAAGAGACATTGATTGTGCAGAAACGACTCTCTCTTACAAAAGCACTTTTGCTATAATCTGCTGTGAGATGTGGGCTGCCTGGGCTTTTTTCCCCACATTGACGTAGATTCGTTGTATCACGATAACCTCAGTACTGTCTATACTGACGTGATAGCAGAAGTAATCCATGTGGCCGCTAAACCTGTTAACTACTGCGTGGACCTTTCACCACGTTGGATCATTATCCCCTGCCAATTTTTTTCTATGTCCATATTCTTCCCCTTTTATACAATATCGAGCTACTGTAGCTCTTCGCAAAAGAGACGAAAGCTTGATGTAGGTACCGAAAGTTCGAAATTTTAAGGCGCTGAATACTCTATATAGTATCACGTTGCACTGAATGTTTGCATATGACAAACGTAAATTTAGCGCTATCCATTCTGTCATTGCCTATAATTGCTCTGTGATTTGTTGTGCACTAACGAGATCGGGTTGTGTCAATCTTCTCTTTTCCTCTTCTTTTACACACTAACAACACCCACAAGTCGATTAAGCGATCAACTAAAACGGCAAAAAAGTAAGCTTTTTCCCCACAACTCATCCTTGAGTCAAGTCGCCATCGCAGCCTTTCGACAGAGGTGAGCTAGCAAGAAAACTTTATCGATTTTTTTTGGATTAGACTAACATAATAGAAGGCATCTATGGAGCTTGATGCGCGTTCATGCTGTAGAAATCTATACTAGTAAAATGATACTGCGAATTATCTTGATCATCCCACGTTTTTTTTAATTATAATCTGTACAAATACAGCGATTCACGCCGAGGTCACTGATAAGCTTGCGTGTCGTTGTCCGGTTTAATGGATTAATTGAATTACTATAATAACCATCCACCTCGATAAGAGCATATCCACCGCATCAATTTATTTAAAAGAATGCTAAAGGTGATAGAGTTGAAAAATTTGACCAGAACGTGACAGGATATGTTTAAAATCCAGATGTATTTTGATTTATCACACAGCCGTAAACTAGCTTGAAGCTGAAACTCTGTATGATGCTTCTCTTCGAGTTCTTTAAGAGATACTCAAATACACTGATGGACGATTTGTAAAATAGCAATCAGCGCGTAAAAATTTGGACAAAAGCAGGACGTGCGGTCACTCTTCGAGTTGAGGCCAATTTCTAGACCATCTGAATAACAACATATAAATTGCTTTTCATTAGTCAGTGACCAACGTGTGTCCTTTGTTACCGTCTGTCGAAGTTGCGAAAAGTTGGTACCACCTCAATATTTTGCTCGTGAAAAACTTGGGTAAGATTGAAGATCCTATGTCGTCATTTTGATTCGGCACCCAAAGAGAAAAAGAAACTCTTTAATTTTATTAGTGCTAACAGGTCAGTGCTACCAAGTCACGATTTTTTAAACGACCGTACCGCCGGTACCGTGTTGATTCCCGAGGATCGCAGTGTTATCAACTACCAATGTGTTCCACTAGCGAATCATATCCGTCAGTCGGGAAGACCCGAGAAAAGATGCATTTGATCTTGAGGAGAAGAATCCGGCAACCGGTTGTATAGACTATATCAGTGTGGGAAGTGAGGTAGCATTGATAGATAGACACGTGCGACTTTCTACCATGTTGAGACCTGACTTGTTAAAACATGTCATTCTTTACATCGACAATGGGAATATGATTCTGTTCTAGTGGTAAAAAAAGGTTAATGACTTGCCAACAGAGAACGTATGCATCCAGGAAACAATCCCACTTGACCTATCCAGACCAGCCACAAGTCATCACATGTAGGGCAGCCCGTTCTCCTACAAGAAATGAACTGGTCTGACCAAGGCTCATCCTACGATACCTAAAATGGAGCAGTTCAGGCCAGATTCTAAATTATGCTTGTCCCGAAGTGGTACGTGTACACGATAATTACCTTAAGCTGTCATGAGATTACTTTTGCAACACCAATGTCGAAATCGATCCTACCACGCTTCCCAGCACAGGACACTGGGCATGAACCACTTCGCTAGAGAGCACACAAATCCTCCCCTCGCAACACCAACCTTCTTTTTCTTCATCGCAACGATGCTCTGTACCGTCAATAGTTTTACTTCGTACCTATTAGCCACCGAAGTAAATTGCGGCGGTGCGATAAACTAAGAATATCTAGATTTTAAATATATCCTGGCACATTCTGGTGAAACCTTTACATCCTGTCAATTCCTGCAATTGTAACATCAACATTATCGCTAAATTGGAGTATTCCTATAAGTGGACTACACGATTAAAGTACTCATCCGATGAAATTTCACACCGAGGTGCACCACTTTAAAACTGACAACGCTGCTTTTATTCTTGCCACGCTTGTCGCCCATAACAAACGCAGTATAAGGAGTATCAAGAAAATGCTGATAACTGTCAAGGGTTAAAGCGTCCTGAGTTCAAAGGAGGGCGTGCGAGGAGTAGGTGTATTTTTGGTGGCAACTTAGAATACGGATGTTTGGAGAAAGGATTGGAGGCATTTCGGATTTGAAGGGGTGAGCCAAAAAATGGAGTGTTCTCTTAAATAGAGACACAATAAAGTGCTGCGGTGGGGACGCAACTACTTCAAATCACTTCAATGTATGATTGTTGCACTCGATTTAGTGACCCAGTGGGGATGCTCTGTAGCCGTGCTGTACGGTAATTGCAATTAATTACATATCGCCCTGGTCAATTATGGGTGCTCATACAATCTTTGGGCTAAATTCTGGTAGAAAATGCTTTAAATTTAGCAAGGTGTAAATTTTAGTAGCGCCCATGGTACGCTCTTACGTATCTTTTTGTCTTTGCGGCCTTTTTTTAAAAATAACGGCTGCCACGATGAAACGGTATCATTTCGTCCAGTTTTGGCCCTATATTTAGGTGTAACTCTATTTATGCCTACTTTTATTGCTGCGTACACCTACATGATTCGTAGGCTGTCCATTTAGCTTTAACAAACCATTTTGACACATTCTAGAAGAATATCCTGTATTTAACAAGAAAACATCCACTGTGTCGTCATAGGCCTCTTTTTACTTCATCGTAAATTTGTCGTCTGCATAACGATGGGCCATCCTATCTTCACCTCTAATGGTGCAGCTCACGATGTTGAAATTCAGTCACTCCTGTGTCGGTCTCCTTCGCTAGTCTTAATACTGCTTATAATGTTGCTGCGTACACCGATGAAGACACTACTGATACTGTCAATCCTTTCGCCCCGGCTCCATCATGGATTCGTGGAGTTGTGAATACCCCTCCTGGGTCGGGCTGTTCATAAGTCAAGAGTAAACTGTCCGTACTATAAAGAGTACACTTGGCTCCAAGGTTTTGCTGTCAGCATTGTCCACACAAGATCGCGTCGCATAAAGCGCGTGTTCGTTTGTTTCTTGCAAGGAAAGTACTATCAATTATTCCACGGGTGGTTAGTGTCGTCGTTAGACCACTGATTATAAACGTTTGCGCTTTGTGAGCTCGCAATCACCTTTAGCAATAAGTTTTCAGGAATGAAACCCGATCTACACTTGAACGTCTATTACATTACAAACGTCCGACGTAAAAATGATATTAAGCTCCCGGCGCGCGCGACATGTGCCACGAGAAGGAGAATATACTAAGGCCACATTTGTCCAGATGCATACTTTTGTAGCTGATGCACAGTAATAAGCTCATATGTGATGATGTAAAATACATTTTACACGTGACATACCTATCTTTATAAGCTTATACTGAAACACTCAAAGGAGGCGAACATCATTACGAGAGCAAGCAACCACTTCCTATAAGCTATTATAAAGAGTCCGTGCGTAAAGTTGAATTCAACGTTTTTGACAAGACCATGATGCTTTTCGCCTCCATCCGTTTTCGAACAGAGTATACCATCATCATGTCGGCATGCTGTTGTGCTCGCTAATGGACTGCCCCCACAACTGATAGAACAATGGAAGGTTGAGAATTCTGCTAAATGAAGGAGGTCATTGTAATGTTAATTCAATGGGGGGGCTATTAAAATGCTTTTTTCTTGCTTAATGCTGGCTGTTGCCTTGTTAATTAGTGGATGATCCATCAGCATTTGTTACAGAGTTTATTTTTGGTATGTGGGGTAGCCTACGATTCACGTAGGTGTATTTCACAATAAATGTATGCGTATTTAGCAATTAATCGAGGTGGATTTAGGGTTACCTTACATTTAGAAGTCGAGCGATGAAACAATAGGCCTATCACTCTTTCCTTTTCTTTACAACCACCTTTCTCAGTCATCAGTTATGAGCGACGAATGCAGAATTCGGCTAGTAATGTCGCGTCATGGCGTCACGCAATAGCTCAGTGCTCCTTCGTATTGGAGCGAGCGAATCTGCAACGAGTTCTGATTTGCGTCGGCTGAGTTACACGAGAATAAATAAATTTACTGAGGGTGACTGGACTTATAACTGATAGATTTCACTAGCAAAAAGCGAAGCGAATGCGGTGACCCATGACAACTCATCTGGAGCTAAAGTCTTGCCTTTTCCGTGATTTAGTTTTTTTGTGACTAGATGCCCGGAGTGAGGGATATGAAAATGACGTCACGCACTCGTTGCCGACGCTTCATACAGAACACGATGATCGCTTCTCTAGACTACACTCGCAGTTTTAGTTTTGGCGAAGTGACTAAAATTTTCTGCAATATAGTTTCGCACCATAGGTCCGTAGCGTTTCTTGCACGTGTCAAAAGTATCTGTACCCATAAAGGTTATAGTCGCACGGGTGACGATTCGTTTCCAAACAAATCAGGTCAATGGCATTAGAAGAACCTGTAAAAGTTCACCAATCAAGAATGTACATTTCGTAGCCGCATGGATCAAGACAAGCAGTAGCTTTGCTCATTCTTTAATTCGTCTAGTCCAGGTTGAGATGCTGGGCACTATCTTTGCAACCTTCGCTGTATTCGCAGCGCTTATCGCCACAAAGACCCACGGCAAAACAACGGCTTACCTGCACGTACGGGTTCACACCCCTGTTTCGTGTCCAAGCGGCCAGGAGAGCATTGGCGTTGTTGGCTGGAGCTCGGATGGCTGCGTCCCCTCTGGAAGCGTTTGTGTAGCTAACTTCAGCGGCGCATGTCCCGAGGGTTCCCACTGTATGATGCTGGACACAGGTGTATACGGCTGTATGGATGGCATTGCAGTTACTGCTAATCATACGAGCTGCAGCAGCAACGAACAGAATATTGGGGTTGTTGGCTGGGAACATGATGGCTGCATTTCTTCGAGCAACGTTTGTGTTGCCCAGGTGAGCAATGGCGACTGTCCAGCTGAAACTTCGTGCCAGAAGCTGGACACGGGTGTATACGGCTGTGTGGCTGATTCCAAGAAGATTGTTAACCACCACCACAAGTCGCGCGAAGTTGCAGAGTCGACGTGTCCGGGTGGACAGGAGAGCATTGCTGTTGAAGGTTGGTCGGCAGACGGCTGCGTTGCCTCTGGACATGTTTGTGTAGCCAATGTCGACGGTGCGTGTCCCGAGGGTGCCCACTGTGCGTGGCTTGACACGGGTGTCTTCGGCTGCAAGGAGGGCGCTACAAAGCCTGTTGATCAGACGAGCTGCAGCGGGAGTGAGCAAAGTATTGGAGTGGTTGGCTGGGACTACGATAGCTGCATTTCTTCGACCAATGCTTGTGTCGCCCAGGTAAGCAATGGGGAGTGTCCCACGGGCGCATACTGTTCGCTACTCGACACAGATGTGTACGGTTGCATTGCCAGCTCCAAACGCTAAGTGGGGCGACGGTATCGAACTGGTCTGTCTAGGATACTTGAGTAGACCTCACTCTATACTCGACCTGTGTTTAAATGCGTTCGTGTTAAACAGAAGTGATTTGGGTGCTCGTATCGTTTGCACAATGTGTATCTGACAGATAGAGGCATTTGCTTTATAATAGGGTTGAAGCTATAGTTGAGGAAGTACTTCGTTGCCTAAAAAAAAAGCTGCAGGCCTCTGGTTTAAGCTGATATTTTATTTTTGACGACTTAGTTAAGCTCATCATTGTGATGTGGGTAATGTCATTGTAATACATTAACATTCGGAAACCGTATTTATTAGATACTTATTTAGTGGGAATGACTATCCTCACACCCACTTTAATTATTCCTGCATCGATATACACCACTAAACCATCAGTGGTTGGCTAATTTTAAAGTGCTAATGGTATTGCATATCTGGCTGCACCAACGTTTCGCACGACCTTCCTTAACTGATACAGCCCACCATAGCCTAATGCTAGTCCTATACCTTAGGATAAAAGCTAGTCACGCCATGACAAGATTACCAAAATGCATGGGGTATCAGCAGGCAATTCTGGATGAGTGCGAGCGTTAAGTGTGAAATATGGATGGGCTGTAAGAGTGATTTCTGTTGCAGTAGGCCGGACAAGCTGGACGGTAATTTAAAAGCTGTCTTTGACTCAGACGTGCTTTGTGCATAAGCCAACGATAGATATACACTTTCTGTTAGAACCATTTACTACTAATAATGATTCGTTGTATGAAAGCAAGCAGCTGTGCAGTGACAGCTGCTTCGGCTAATGTAACGGGGTAGCCCGTTACACGATATTGATACCAAAAAATGATATCATTAGGGAGATTGTCTTGGGTGACAATTACCTGCCAATATCACCCGAGATAGATAACATTGAAGGAATTTTATCCCCTTTGTAGGATAATATTCATGCCATCCTCAAGATTGGTTGATCAAAGACTTATCAACTAATATTACCACCAATCACTGCTAGACGCTCACAATGAGTAGTAAGCAGATATTCCTCACACTACAATGTAGATTGATATAGTTAGATAAAGACTGAAGTTATATTGATAGCTTAGCTATACTGAATACAGATCTCTTTTTACCCTGTGCTCAAACTAGTGGTTCGACTAGATTAGCTTCCTCTGCACGTTCTAGTGTGCGTGAAGTTTTGCGGCATCAAAGCTAAGGGTGCCTTGTTACACCTGGTAGCACTTTGTAGTCCATCCAACTACTACTTAGTGTCCGTCCAACATGAGCAAATTAAACGTAGAAGACGACAGCTTTCACGTCACACTTAGAGGCTACTCTCATCTGAGTTACTCTGAATGGGAGATAGTCGGCCGCATGTGTGTGCTCATGGCAACCCGCCATTAGTGGCATATTGGAGTCTCTTAGCAGAGACAAACAACATGCCGCTTGCAACAAATTCCTACAAGGGGAACTTGACCTCAAAAGACAAAAGATAGCCTTGCTACAACAGCAAGGCTCTCATCAGACGATGGGCTGGACGACGCACGTGCGTCGACCCAAAACTTTGAAGATAGATATCTCAAGGTACAAAGGAACCGATGAAGATTCCCTTTTGAGATGGTTCGTCGAGCTCGACGACGCCATTAGGGCCCGTCACATCTAGGGTAATGAGATGCAAGTAACCTTCGCCCTGTCAAATTCGACAGGACGAGCAAAGACTTGGGCCTTAGAGCACAAGCCTCACGACCCAAACGTGTTTGAGTCGTTGGAGATCTTGAAGTTTCGGATCAAAGACACGTTTGAGCCGCCGAGAGCCTGGATCGGAGCACGCCCTGCACTCTTGAGGCTAAAGCAAGGTAAGTGTGACGTGCACGCTTACGCACAGCACCTTCGCTGCCTTGCGAGTAGCGTCACGGAGAACCCTGTTGATGAGCACAAGCTCATCAATGTGTTCATCTACGGCCTTGTTTATGGGCCGGTGAAGATCTACTTGTTCCAAGAGGACTTCCATGCGCTGAAATGGGAGATATCGTATGCGGAACAGATAGATTTCAGCCTGAGACAGTCCCAGGCTAATTCCTCAACCGATCGTCCGATGAGACGACAGGAAACAGGAGTTCTCGAACCAATGGAACTCTGCTATGCCAAGAGCAAGAAATCTCGCTCTCCGAGTCTCAAGTGATCGGCAAGGTGCCATCGCTGTCAGAAGATTGGGCAGTATGCTCATGAGTGTAGTGTCCAAAGCATCGCAACACGTCCAAAGACAGGACGTGATAGCCGCCGATGGCCTAGGAAAGGTCCAAGGCGCGGGTCCGACCATGTTGCTAACCCCGATAACAAGTCGGAACGCCAAAAAAACCGTCCGGTCAGCAGGGGCGGAGCACCCTGCTGATCCAGCAACGTCAAGATAATTTGCAGGACTCTTGACGAAGATCGCTCCCAACACACAGTCGCTGTGTGTTACTGCCCGTAGTGATGAGATGTCCCTGCTCACTTTGATGATCGAAGTGACAAGTGGAAGGTCACTTCCCGCCCCAGTTGACTGTGGGCGTTGAACAGTTTTATACGACAGTCGATAGAAGATAGTAGACTCAACTATCTTAAGCGAGACTTCCGTCCAACGAGGATGACGGTGTGCCTTGCTACAGGCGCATCCATAACAGTGAACAAACGTGTCGTGGAAATCCACTGAACGCTAGAAGAAATTTGATTTCATCCTCGGTCTGCCATAGCTTCGCAAATACCAGCCATGGGTCAGCTGGAACCATCGGTCCAAGAAGATACCTGCTGTTTGTTCATCAGATGGCCATCCGATGAACGTCTTGGAGCGTCCACAATCTTGTGGATTTACTACGAGTGAGTGCAATGGTCTCACTTGTGGTACGGTCGTTAGCATGACTGCACAAGATGACAGTGTAGAAGGCCACTGCACTGTGGAACCGGCTTCCGGCACCTGTGTAGAGATACAGGCTGCGCCGAAGGTACACCACTCGAAGAGATCGAGTGGACTGGAACACGGATGCACATCAAGAAGGATGCATTCAAGAAGAGGGATGAGTGTGTTCAGACTTAACAACACGTTACATCAAGATCTACTATCAGAGAGTCGATCGTAGAGCAAGCCCGATCTGCCGAAAGAGAGTCGATCGAAGAGGACGTGACTGTGGTACTGTACTCACAGTCAGTACCCGTATTGGAAGAAAGTTCCAGCGTTTCTGAGAATAATAACTTCCCAAGAGAGTTATGTTGAGGGTGTGTTTCCCCAACCACCTGCGAATATGTTTTTCCAGAAAATCACCAAACATTTGATGTCTTGGAGAATGACGGATCGTGTGTAGGCTCAACAAAACTTGATCTGCTTACTCCAACGAAGTCAGCTTCGGAGGTGGTCAAGTTTTCAACGCTAGAATCCAAAAGATTCCTGCGGGATCTGCGTAGTGACAAGATCAAGCTGGTCTGCGTACTCTTCACAAAGGACGATTACGTCGCCGATATTCGGTCGGTACAAGTTTTTACTATAAATGAACGAGTTCTAAGTAGCTCATCGATGGACGAGAGTGTCCTCGATGAGAAGACCTGGATTGAGCGATACACGTCTAATTGTTTGGGAGGCATCAAGGAAAAATCCTTTGTACGAGGATTTAGTTAAATTCAGGGATGTTTTCCCAGAATCCGTGCCATGCGAGCTGCTCAAGAACAAAGTCACTCGGCATGAGATCAAGCTGAAACCCGGTTCGAAATACCGTGACATGAAATAGTGGCCACTGCCTCTTGAACAGGTCACAGCCATCGACAAATTTTTTGCCGATCGATTAGCGGCTGGTCATGTGAAGGAATCAACATCCCCACACATCTCTCCGACCTTCTGTGTGCGAAAGATTACAGGAGGGTGGCGGATAGTGCACGCGTTCAACAAATTGAATGCTACAACGGTATCGGTTCAAAAGCCGAACCCAAGAAAGGACGTCATCATAGATGGGATGGCAAAAAGTACCACCTTATTTTAAAATAAAAAAGATGGCACTTTTTGGCATTCCATAGGTTTTGATGGATGGATTCTATCAGATCCTTATGCATGAAAGGGACATCCCTTACACAGCAGTGGGAATACCCAGTGGTACGCTCTATGAGTGGCCAGTGATGCCATAGGGGCTAAGTAACGCCCCTGCAACGTTCAACAGATGTGTTACGAATCTGTTGCAATCGGTGCGCAATTTCACGCCGAGCTACTTCAACTATGTCTTCGTCCATAGCCGAACTATGGACGAAAAGACTGACGTGGAGGTTTATAGAAACCACGTCCGGAAGGTTCTTACACTTGTGCGAGAGCATAAGTTGCTCGCGGACCTCAAGAAGTGTATCTTCTCAGCAAGCGAAATACCACTTCTTGGCTACATCGTTGGTAAAAACGGCGTACGCCCTGATCCGGGAAAGATCAAGGCGATTGACGACTGGCCTGTGCCAGTCGACGTCAAGGGACTTCGAATGTTCCTTGGCTTGGTGACGTACTTGCACAAATACTCATGCAACTACGCCGAGATGACCGTAAATCTCTCTCGTCTACTAAAGCAACACGAGAGGTGGCCAAAGAGTGCTGAGTGTCAGCACTACCTCGAAGGTATCAGGAAAAACTTGATACAATCGCCTGTGTTGGCGATTGCAGACCAGGTAGACCATTCCATGTGGTTTGTGACGCCAGTGATCGTGCGATCGGCTGCGCGTTATTACAGTACGACTCAGACGGCGTTAAGCGCGTCGCTGTTATCAATCGCGTCAGCTGCAAGCAGCTGAGCGTAGTTACCCAGTGCATGACAAGGAGCTCCTTGCCATGAAATATGCACTGGCCATGTTTCGGGTATGTCTCTTAAGAGATAGGCCCTTCATCGTCTATACCCCATGCGTCGTTACGCACGGCTGTAAACAGTCCACACCTCTCGCAACGAATGGCGAGATGGCTACTTTCTTTCTTCGCGAGTACAATTACTCCATCAAGTATAAATCAGGACGACTTGATGTCGTCGCTGATGCTCTTTCGCGTCGGCCCGATTTTGAGTCGACTGTTCAACCCAACAGAAAGGGTGATCCCAATGTTGCAACACTATCAGTGAGTGTTCCGTCGTCGAGTAAGCTCGACGATGTGCAGAAATCATGCACAAAAGATATTTATCTTCTGCGATTGATGGATAGTGTATCCAATCCACGCCGTTAAGTCTGAAAAGCTTGACGTCTTAATACCGACTTCTAACCGAGCTGTGTTCGTTTCGTGATGTACTGCTGTACTAAACTGCAGTCAACAATGACACGGCTCGTGTCGTCTTTCGCGCTCATGATAATTGGCGATTGCGCATCATGTATGAGTGTCACGATGCCCCAACATGTGGTCATTGCAGTAGAGAAAAGACTTAACTCACGGTAAGTCGTGACGTCTACATGCCTCGCCAGTATGAGCTTGTGCGCAAATACATTCTCGCTTGCAAAGTTTGTCAACGGGTGACGCCTAATCCTTCATCCCGTGCACCCTTGCAGCCTCTACCGATTCCGGCAGCTTGCTGGCAGTCCGTATCGATGTACTTCGTCTTTGGGTTTCCCGAATACGCTCACAAGAATACTGGTATTTTTGTGTCTGTTGATCGGTTCGGCAAGATGGTACATCTTGTTGCTGACCGGAGTCAACCACAGCCCAGGGATGTGCTTGTGTCTTCATCGATACTATCTTCCGACTTCACGGGTTACCCCGTGACCTCGTGTCTAACAGGGAATTCCGCTTCACGGTGGATTTCTCGAAATCCGTGTTCCGTTTACTTGGAACAATAAAAGATGACAAGTTATGATCATTTAGATACCGATGGGCGAACGGAATGCGTCAACCGCGTCCTCGAAGAGATACTTCGAGTGTATGTCCACTCGTTTGCGAGTTGGAGTGAGTTCTTGCCGATGGCAAAATTCGCCATCAACAATAGGTGCATGCGTCAACAACAGATACACCGTTCTACGTGAATGAGCTATGCTATCCACGTGCATCCGCCTTCTTAGAGTGAAATTTTGTTTTAAGAGGGGACTCTCTCACACAAGAATCCTTCTTTTTCTTGTTCATCATATGTCGACAATGGTGTCAACGTTATGGATGCCGATGTCAATCACATCTACATCCGTGATAATAATGACGACGATACTGGTATATTCAGCATCGCCAACGACTGCTACTGTAAGGAAGATGAAGCCCTCACTGGTAAAGAAAACGATCGTGCAGCAGTGCGTACAAAGAGCACTGGTTCACAATGATGAGTCATCAGAGGAAATTCTGCTGACTCGCGAAGCGGTTATCCATTTCGTTCAAGATTCTTTCGCACACACAATCGAAAAACATAATAGAAACACAGACAAACATGGAAGAGCATCTTTTATTTTATTTAATAGCGGACCCTTGGTTCTACTGTGTACAGTTAATCTACTAAGACCTGCAGTGGCTAACATGGGCAGCAGCAAACTACTGCTCGAGTAGATCGGTCCGTTTCGTGTGATGCGCCGAATGGTCAACGCATGCATGATTGAACTGCTCCGTAAGATGCATACGCATCCTACATTTTACTTTGGACGTATCCACCCGTACTATAGGTATGAGCCGGTTTGGACAGTCGAAGAACACCTCCGTGGTCAAGGGCCGAGACCACCTTCGAATAGTCCCGTTTCAACGAACCATTCTGGTCGACTTGCAAAGCGACCTGTTCACGCATTTGAGCGATGTCCTGATGAGCTGCAGCCAGCTCATCACGAAGAGAACGAGTCGAACGTCCGTCCTAAAGTTTAGCAAACGCAAAAGCGACACGATCGTCAAAACGATCGTGCGTTAGGGGATTATAACTATCCCTCACAAGATCCTTAAGCCCATAACGCCGAAGTCATTCATGATCCAGTTCATCGTGTAACTGTTCCGTTACATGGCTTAGCTACTGACATCGAGCTGATCCTAACCTCGAGTCGGACAGGGTGTTTCCGACACCACCACATCCATTGGTGAATTCTGGCGGCGCTTTCTGGTGAAGCGTATTTTGAGCCATCGCGACGTAAATGGCGTCCGCACGAGTTACCTCGTCCGCTAACGTGGCTTTTCACCGGACTGGGACAGCTGGGAACCTCGTGCCCAGTCGATCGCTGATGTTCTGGGTATCGTCGAGCAATATGACGATACCCGCCACCTGCGTTCGAAGAAGGGCCGTCAGAAAACAACCTCCTCGAACGCGAGTACAGGGATTTCAAAGTGTCAATCCTTCCGGCAATCTCAGCAGAGATGCGCGCCCTCAATTAGGGAACATTAAGGAGGGAGGCCTCCCTAGGGGCACGATTCGAGTTGTCCAGAAAACTTGGACACGAATCGCCTCACGAGAGACAGGGTATTCCTGCCTCTCTTGACAGCCGGTGCAACTTTTATTGTACACCTACAAGGTAACGCTTCTCATGCCTGAGCTGCATCAAGCTTACCGAGCCAGGCCTCACGGCAAATGCACTCGATGTTATAGATGAAGGTATTATATCCCTGCACCAACACCTTACCGTCTAAGCCGCAATTGCCGTTAAGCCACCGATGGTTGAAGAACACATCGGCGTAGAATTCTTCCTCAGCACAAATAGGTTCCGTGCTCGAATAAGGAGGACAGACATACCTGTAGACGAACAACGGGATTCGATCCCGTTCAGTGGTGATATCGGCAAACCGTTCCAACTCTTTCAATGACGGCATCCACGGAGACTCCACTTACGGAGCATGGAGCAGGACATTTTGGTCCCTGGTCTATAGTGTGGTGTCAGCCTGCGCGCTGACACCAGTATCATGAGCGCTGACACATTTAGTATGCCAATTCTTTGAATTGCTTCTCTCGTGGTGACGCATAGGTGCGTCGCCACCATCACCACGCATCCTATTGTTATACGGACTTCCGTGAGACGAATTTTTGTCGGACGAATTGCTCGGTCCGAAGATCTCGGAGATCATAGCTCCATTTTCCCCAAAAACAGTCAAACTGGCTCTGGCAGTGTCCGCCCCAGGTGATCCGGAGGAAGGAGGAGCCACCTTCGAGTCTGATGCATCATCCAAGTCACCATGATAGATGAGCTCTTTTTCCTTTCATCCGCTTTGCGAGTCGTAGCACCCGCTGCAGACGCGGCGGATGCATTTGTCGCACGTGGTAACTCACCACGTGCACTAGTCGCAACAGGCACTACATGTTGCCCACTTGCATCAGCAGGTGAACGATCACCTACTGCTGAAGCTTTAAGAGTACTTTCTCCGTCGTCACGCACGTGTGTAGCTGCCCTTTTGGCATCTTCCGCAGCGCACCGAATGGACTTCGAAACCAAGCGCTTGAATCGTCAAATAATTTATGCTCGACCAACAATTGCTTCCCTTCCCAGAGTGATCTAACGGTGATCACCCTGTCCTTATTTATTTGATCTAATGGACGGGTGATTAAAGGTTGAGGGACAGTGATGTAAGAAGTAGCCCGTTGCACGATATTGACGCCAAACGGTGTCAATAGGGAGATTGTCTTGGGTGACAATTACCTGCCAATATCACCCGAGATAGATAACATTGAAGGAATTTTATCCCCTTTGTAGGATAATATTCATGCCATCCTCAAGATTGGTTGATCAAAGACTTATCAACTAATATTACCACCAATCACTGCTAGACGCTCACAATGAGTAGTAAGCAGATATTCCTCACACTACAATGTAGATTGATATAGTTAGATAAAGACTGAAGTTATATTGATAGCTTAGCTATACTGAATACAGATCTCTTTTTACCCTGTACTCAAACTAGTGGTTCGACTAGATTAGCTTCCTCTGCACGTTCTAGTGTGCGTGAAGTTTTGCGGCACCCAAGCTAAGGGTGCTCCATTACATCTGTCCCATAGTATGCATATTAAAACTGCAGCGATGGCTTTAATATACCTAATTGGAGTTAGGGTGTACCTTGTTTGGAGAATGGCATTTCACGTTTCAACTGTAGTTAGTTTGCTAGGATGGAAATGGGGCGACTCTCCGCCTAAGCTAAGGCCACTAACCCTTGTACTGGATTTTAAGCACGTTCAGCCCTTCTCACGGTGACACGTAGGTAAATGATGCCGATCACATAAGTTTAAGAACTTTTACTCTTCTATTTAAAGGATGGAATATAGTTAGGAGTTGTATCTCGCACAAGCCGGATTCAAGCGATGTCGGAATCTGGTGAAATGTCGTGTGTATGTCGATCCTTTGATCTTTTCGTGAGCGTCCAAATCTTATTTATCCTACAAGGAATTAATTTTAAAGACCTTTGAATGGTCGTATTTTTTTATATTTGTAAACCTTAGCGACTCCGCACTTCTTACCTCTTCAGACGCGGCAACAACTCAAGTTTGTTTGAAAAACGTAGAAATCTTTGGTTGACTGTCACAATAGCTAAGCGACTCTGTTGGGATACTGACAACCATCTAAAACACCTGCCACGACCAAATTGATTTTTTGTGTTCAACTGACGAAGGGCGAAAAGGTGGGAGCGCAAGAAAGGTAAGGATAAACTAATTATCCTGCAATAATCATCAGAATATTTACGGACAAGAAAAACTAATCGCGCAACTCAGACGATCCACTTCACCAGGCAGAGCCGAGCACTACAAACGGAAGCATAGATCATGTCTGTGCAATAATGTAAAGTGAGTAAAGCGACATTGTGACAATACTGATGATGGCTGAACATTAAATATCTACGACGTACAAAATCACTTCGAATTACGCAATCGTAGATATTG